GTCATTCAAAGTGTGACAGCGCTGAAAGCTGAAAATTGGCCTGGGGGAAGTGGGTATAAGTGCCCTGTAGGCAAGGGGTTAAATGGTGTTGCCTTGGAAGGGGGGTAGTCTTATACGATGAGTATAGCCCAAAACCTATGTTTTAACTGGAAAATTAGGGGGTCATCTTATACACCTAGCCGCCTTATACGCCGGAAAATAAGGTGTATATATATTTTTCTGATTTTTGCATCTCCGGGTAGGGGGCGTGTGTGCCAGCAAGGATATGCTGCTTTGTATCTCTCTGCACAGCATGTCTCTCTGCACAACATCCCATTCCCGAACTGGAAGTGAGAGAAAATCCCTTTGGGTAACCCCCTCCCCCCAGGTCACCAGAACTAACTAGTGTCCCCTTTGGAAGATTTCCCCTCTGTTTCTGGGGATAACCCAAAATGTTTTTTTTGTTTTTGTTTTGTTTTTTTTTTAATTGGCGAGTACGAGTGCCAATAATTTGCGTTGCAATTTGCCTCTATACAAAATGTTTGGACACAAATTTCACTGCAAAGAATCGCATGTGGTTTGAACAGGAATCGCATGCAGTTTCCCCACTGCTCCTGTGTGAACCCAGGCTGTCATAGCTGGAGTCCACTCAGAAGTGGTGTAGGAGAGTGGGCAACTGGGATGTTTGCCTTGGTGGCAGATGTTCCATATTTTCAGCTGTAGGACAGAAGAGAAAACAGCGGGGATTTGAAATCCCCACCTTTCTCTCCTCTCCTTGCAGGGATGACACTTCGAGCTAGAGGGCTTTTGTTTGCTCAGCACAGTCACAAGGAGAGCAAGCAACAGGGGTTTCAAATCCCCAGGCCTGTGAGATCGCTTTATCTCCTCCTTGCAGGGATGACTTTGGGCTAAAGGGCGTTTGATTGGTCAGCACTGTCACATGGACGGTGCTGACCAATCAGATGCCATCTAGCTCGAACTGTCATCCCTGCAAGAAGAGAGAGAAGCAGGGGTTTTAAATCCCCAGGCCTGTAAGGTTGCTTTATCTCACCTTGCAGGGATGACCGTTCAGGCTAAAGGCCTTTTGATTGGTCAGCATTTATCACAACGGGAGAAAGCCGCAGGGATTTCAAATCCCCAGGCCTGTGAGGTTGCTTTATCTCCTCACCTTGCGATGACAGTTCAGGCTAAAGGGCTTTGATAGCTCAGCACCGTCACATAGATGCCGTCTAGCCCGTACGGGCGACCCTGCGAGGAGAGAAAGAAGCAGGGATTTCAAATCCCCAGGCCAGTGAGGTCGCTTTCGCTCCTCTATCGCTGAGAATATGGACCATCTACCTCCATGGTATACATCCCCACAAGCCCACTCTCCGTTCAGCACGGGATGCCTGAAGGAGGTTTCCTGTACTGCTGTGTGAGCTCAGACTGACAAGCCCAGGTTCACACATGAGCAGTAGGCAAAACCGCTTGTGAGTTGGACAGGAATCGCATGCTAATTTTTGTGGTGCAATTTGTAGTGACGGAAATTGCACTGCAAAGTATCGGTTTGCGGTATCGGGAGCATTTTCACAAGTACCCGTGAAAAATGCTCGGTATCTGCACCAATATCGGTCTTGGTGCATCCTTAATCTTTGCTCACAATCTAAAAAAGTTTTGCATTTAGGGGTTATTAAGATCAGGTTCACACTAATGCGGTGCAGGACACCGCATGTAATTCGCACATGAATCACAGCACATTCGTGTGCAAATTGCATGTGATATCTGTGCGGTGCGATTTGAGCCATACATTTTGTATAGCTCAAATCACATCACATCTGCACCAAAAAGGTGCAGGACCCTTTTTTTTGTTTGTTTGTTTGTTTTTGTTTGTTTGTTTTTTTTATTTTATTTTATTTTTTTTAATACCAACACGTGAATCGCATTGCATGGGTGTTCTCTCCAACACAATTTAAAAAAAAAAAAAAAAAAAAAATCTGCATGTGCAAAGATGCACCACCGCTCTCTTCCAGGTATTTGGGAGCTGGCATGCGCACAAGTGCTGCCGGTCTTTTCTAGATGGGCATTAAAGCGTGCACTATGTTTGTGTGCATGCGAATTGAAATCATAGGAGGCTGCAGGGTCCGGCCTGCATGGAAACAAGTGCTGCAGCACAAAAAACTGACCCAAAGGTAAAAATAAAAATCAATATTTAGCATTTGTGTTAGATGGAGGGGTCTGTATTGTCACCCCGCCACATGGGAATGTTAACAGGAAGTGGCTGCAAAGAGGCCACAGGGAATCTGCAGTACTGAAATGCCACAAAAAAAAAAAAAAAAAAAAAAGTAAAATCTTATTTCAAACTAGTACACAAAGAAAATTAAAAGAACACTTTGAAAGCACATCAGATGTCAATGGGGAGGAATCTCCTGCTGGATATCTATCTATACTGATATGGACGGGGTAATGGGTGAGGAACGTAAGGACGCCTCATCATTTGATGGAAATGATCGACCTACAGAGGGCTGAATTCACTGACACCCCGAAAATCAAAGTGAAAAATTGATGCAGCAGGCTGGCTAAAATGTCATTGCAGCAACTCAGAATGGTCCTCAGTAGTTGTATGGCCCCCACGTGCTTGTATGCATGCCTGACAACGTCGGGGGAGGCTCCTAATGAGACCACAGATGGTGTCCTGGGGGATTTCCTCCCGAATCTGGACCAGGGCATCAATGAGCTCCTGGACAGTCTGAGGTGCAACCTGGCGGCGTCAGATGGACCGGCACATGACATCCCAGAGGTGTTCTATTGGAATAGGTCAGGCGAGTGTGGGGGCCATTCAATGGTATCGATTCCTTCATCCTCCAGGAACTGCCTGCATACTCTCTCCACATGAGGCCGGACATTGTCCTGCACCAGGAGGAACCCAGGACCCACTGCACCAGGAGGAACCCAGGACCCACTGCACCAGGAGGAACCCAGGACCCACTGCACCAGTGTAGGGTCTGACAATGGGTCCAAGGATTTCATCCCGATACCTAATGGCAGTGTGTGTGTGTGTGTGTCCCTCCATGGATATGCCTCCCCTGACCAACCATCAGAGTGGTCATGCTGAGCCATGTTACAGGCAGCAGAACATTCTCCACGGCTTCTCCAGACCCTTTTACATCTGTCACATGTGCTCAGGGGGAACCTGCTCTCATCTGTGAAAAGCGGCACCAGTGGTGGACCTGCCAATTCTGGTGTTCAATGGCAAATGTCAATAGAGCTCTATGGTGCTGGGCAGTGAGCACAGGGCCCACTAGAGGACGTCGGGCCCTCAGACCACCCTCATGAAGTCTGTTTCTGATTGTTTGGTCAGAGACATTCACACCAGTGGCCTGCTGGAGGTCATTTTGTAGGGCTCTGGCAGGGCTCATCCTGTTCATCCTTGTACAAAGGAGCAGATACCTGTCCTGCTGATGGGTTAAGGACCTTCTACAACCCTGTCCAGCCCTCCTAGAGTAACTGCCTGTCTCCTGGAATCTCCTCCATGCTCTTGAGACTGTGCTGGGAGACACGGCAAACCTTCTGGCAATGTATTGATGTGCCATCTTGGAGGAGTTGGACTGCCTGTGCAACCTCTGTAGGGTCCAGGTATGGCCTCATGCTACCAGTAGTGACCCTGACCCTAGCCAAATGCAAAACTAGTGAAAAACAGTCAGAAAAGATGAGTAGGGAAAAAATGTCAGTGGCCTCCACCTGTAAAACCATTCCTGTTTTGGGGGTTGTCTCATTGTTGCCCATCTAGTGCACCTATTGTTAATTTCATTAACACCAAAGCAGCTGAAACTGATGAACAACCACCTCTGCGACTTACCTGACCAGATCAATATCCCAGGAGTTTCACTTACTTGATGCTAGTCTCTGATTACAAAGTCTTCCTTTCATTTGCTAAATTTTTTTTTTTGTTTGGTTTTGAATAGAGTGGCGAGGGGTTAGCGCCATGTCAGGTATTGCTATCTCTGTCCCCATTTGGGAGGTTCTCTGTCGAGAGAGAGAGAGACGCGGACGGAGCTTTGTCACCCTTTAACCCCCCTGGCGGTATTCCCGAGTGTAGCTCGGGGTAAAGTTTCAGCACCACAAGCGGTAACCCCGAGCTACTCTCGGGAATACACTGCGGCGTTGCTCCGGGATCCCTCCATCACTTACCTTGTCCTTCGCTCTCGCGATGTCCCTCCTGCAGTGTCCCCGGCAATGTCCTCCGGCCGATGCCGGCATCCGTCTTCTGGGTTCCGTTCCCTGTGTTGTCAGGATGTACAGGGGACGGAACTGGCGGGAAATTTTAAAAGTAACATGCACTAAAATCTGATAGTATAACATTACTGTATCAAACTATTTCACATACATTTTATCCTGTGCCCTGCCTGCATTTTACTGTTCTTTCTGCCTGGAAACTGAGACACATCCAAAAAGCGTCCCTTTCAGGTCAAAAGCGGTTTTAGACCGGCTAGAGAACAGCGATAGTAAATCAGAACCACTTGCAGAATTGAGTGATAATGATTCGTGGGGGAAATTCCTCATCAGACACTGAAAACGATTCTACGACTTTGTTCAGCGATGTGCGAACTTGGCGCTATATTTCAAATTTCAGTGTTTTTGGTTTGATTATATTATTGAATTAAATTATTATATTTTTTATGATTATTTATTAAATTATAATTTATGATTTCGTGTTTCAAATTTTAACATACCCGGGATGTTTACTAGACTCTTCTTCAGACAGATTTCAGTGAGTTATTCCTAAAAATTACAGGTCTACAATAAAAAAAAACTACATATTTCCATGCAAAAAAATGTACCGCTTTGAGCACAGAAATATGGACCTAATCAGACCGGTAGGGAGGTTACCAGGAAGTGTCTAAACAAGAAGCTCCAGGATTATTTTAATGATAGCTGCATATTTTAAAATATTGAAAGCGATTTTATAAAATCAAATAATGTTGACTAATTTTAGGTTATTTAGATGGAGTTTTTAATGATTTGGATGTCCCTCTACTATTTTTACAGGTGCTATTGATGGGGAAGAGTGGGTCTGGGAAGACCAGCATGAGATCTATTATTTTTGCAAATTACATAGCACGGGACACTCGTCGTTTGGGGGCTACAAGTAAGTATTTGCTTAGAGAAAAACCTTGCATATTGATGGAAATGAGCATCCGCCTACAATGTGATAATTTGTATATTGATGTAAACGAGCATCCGCCACAAGGTAATCCTTGTATCTTTCCCGTGCAGTTGATGTCGAACACTCTCACGTGCGATTCTTGGGTAACCTGGTATTAAATCTTTGGGATTGTGGTGGGTAAGTAAGGTATTCTTGAGCAAGTAGGTTGCAGAGTAGATGGTTTTTCGTACTCTATCTTGTACAAATAGATTTGGCCTCATGCATATATGCGGTAACAGGGTGCTGGGCTTTAACACTGCTCTGCCTTGTATATGGGTCCAGTCAGTGTCTGTTCTGCACTGGGAGTGTGCCCCCAATACTGTGATCAAACTGTCACCCACTGATCTCAGTCTCTAATTACAATCAAGAACCTTTCGGATGGGCTCACAATTATGTGAGCACTGTGACTGCTTATTGTAGTGACCACATGATTGAGAAGCCCAAAAAACCCCTCTGTTAATAACCTGTTTGCACCGACAGTACGCAAATATGCGGCCTCTTGCCGGCTGGGCCTTAACGCCAGCGGCCTCATATTTGCCTACCAAAAGTAAACAACCGTGTTCTGATGCGTGCGCTCCCCGGGACATTTACCGGCGCCTCATAGAGAGGTCCCAATCACTACTTACGATTTGGCCCTTTCTAAACACGTGACCGCTAATCACGGTGGTCACATGACCCTAAACCCTGCCCCGCTTCCCAGGGTCAGATACCCATTGGATGGCTTGGAGGCGCTGGCACCAAGGGGTTTCCTTAACCACTTCTCGACTGCCCTATAGCAGATCTACTGCTACAGGGGTGTGTAAAATTACGTGTGTGTATATACGTGATTTTGCACTTTAGGGTAGGGGGCACACGAGCCCTACCTGCGCCGATAGGCGCGGCTGTCAATCACTGGGTCCCGGTCGGTGAGTACCCCGCTGGTGCCCGGTGATTACCGAGCATCTCCGACGGGGAGGGGAACTGTTTTGTTTACAAACAGTTCTCCTCCCTGTCAGCTCAGGCACACTGCTCTGGATGGCTGTGTACAGCACAGCCATCCAGAGCAGTGTGCTTACAGTGAAGCACCAATACAACGCCTAGTAAAACACTCCCTGCACACAGTTAACCCTTTTGATCATCCATGTTAACCCCTTCCTGCCCAATGCCATTAGTACAGTCAGTGCTTTTTATTAGCACTGATCACTGTATTGGTGTCACTGGGGATGTCAATGACACCAAGTCAGTTCCCCCCCCCCCAGTGTGAGAATGTCTGCCGCATTTGAGGTGCAGCATTTCATGACCGCGCAATTGTCCGTTAAAATAACACAGAGCCCTAACGCAAAAATGGATTGGTCAGGGAGGGGGGGGGAATCCTCAGGAGGGGTTAACCACTTTATTGCCTGGTTATAGCCGAAGATGGTTACAGAGAAGTCTAGACGATCTCCCAGAACGTGCACCCCCTGGGATGTGTATTGGGTGTAATCTGTGACCACTGTGTCCTTTGGACAGATCGTGGTAAAAGACCAATGGCAACGGTCCTTTACCATGTGATCAGCTGTTTAGTCAGTCAATCACAACTAAACAGATTTGCTGGTTATTGGCTTTTCCTTTTCTCAGTGCTGTCCCAGTGCGAGGCAAAGAAAGCCGATAACTGGCAATCCTGACTGTGCTTTGCTTACACTGGTTATCTGAGCATTGATCATCAGTGCCCACCAGTGCTGGCTCCTTAGTGCCTATCAGTGAAGAAGAAAAATGATTATTTGCAAAGTTTTATAGCAAACTAAGAAAAATATTTTCCCCAAAATTTACGGTCTTTTTATTAAATACCACCCCAAAAAAAAAAGCTAATAAAAATGACAATTTCATGTGTTCAGTGTTGCATGACCGTGTAATCGTCAGAGTGTGACAGCGCTGAAAAGTGGTCTGGGCAGGAAGGGGGTGAAGTGCCCGGTATTGAACAGGTTAATCCACTTCAGCCCCAGGCCATTTCTATCACTTTTTGTTTACATTTTACTATCAGTATTTTATTGCTAGAAAATGTCTTAAACTCCAAACATTATATATTTTTTAAAGTGGCCCTAGAGAATAAATTGGTGGTTTTTGCATTTTTATTTATTGTTTGTTTTTGTTGTGTGGTGTGTTTTTTTTTTTTTTTTTTTTTTTTTTTGTCACACGATCTTTGCACAGTGGTTTTTCAAAAGCAATTTTTGGGAATTCTTTTCTTTATTTTATTGCAAATAATACCAAATACATAACCCAGTTTTTGGTAAAAATATAAATGTTACACTGTGTAAGTAGATAGCAAACATGTTGAGCTTTAAAATTGTGCAACAGCGACAAACTGCTTATATTTACCATCAATAGGCAACGCGTTTAAAAGCCTTTTACGGGTTACAATTTTTTAGATTTACATAGGTCGTCTAGTGCTAGAATTACTGCCCATCTGACAATCACAGCAAAACCTCACCTTGGACGATCGCTATTTGCATGCGTGTGGGACCGACACATGTGTTCCCCTTTGTGCGCGAGCATGGGGGGGGGGGGGGGGGGGGGTGTGTATGTGTCAGTTTTTTAATTTTATTTTATTTTTTGATCACATTTACTGTTGTCACAAGGAACGTAATCATCCCGTGACAGTAATACACGCGACAGGTATTTTTATGAAGGGATCTGGGACACCTCAAATCCCTCCTTTGCTCTTTGAAAGCATTGAGAACACCAAGAGCGATGTATTTTTGAATGATTTCAGGTTGTTAAAAATGGCTGAAACACTTTTAACCACTTCAAGTCCGGGCACTTATACCCCCTTCGTGCCCAGGCCAATTTTCAGCTTTCAGCGCTAGCACACTTTGAGTGACAATTGCACGGTCATGCAACACTGTACCCTATATACTTTTTTTGCATTTTTCTGAGACAGATGAAACTTTATTTTGATGGTATTTATTCACCACTGGTGAATAAAGTCCAAAAATTTAAAAAGTGTTTTTCTTATAAAATTTTGTAAATAAATCTTTGTAAATCTTGGCCAAAATGTATTCAGTTATCTTTTTAGTAAAAAAAAAAAAAAACCCAAATTAGCTTATAACCAAAAACTATAATTTTTCTAAATTTTTGTATATTTTTTTTATATTTTTTTTTTAACTGGATTGCGGTGCAGCACGCTCCCAGGCTAAAATGGCGGGCACCGTTTATGAACGGCAACCCACTCCTGCACGGGAAGTGGTTAAATACGAAGTGATGTCGGGTCATTGCTTCTGGTTTACTGTAAAGGAGAGCCAATCCAAGCTGATTTTGGCTTTGTTCAGCTGTCTGGCCAGACGGTGGATGTACCGGCTAGTCGCATGGGACTCCTGGTGGGAAGAGAGATGGGGGGGGTTCTCCCGCTGCTTGTACAAGAGACCCGACCAGTACCTGGGTGATGCTGTCACTCAGGTATAACCACCAGAAGTCCTGGGATGTACGGGTATGTTGCTGGTCTGGAAGCGGATCTATTAGTTTGAGGTGCCCTGTGCACAAATATTTGTTTATATTCTTTAAGTATCATGATTTATTGGTGATTATAAGAGTTGCTGGTCTACAGACTGTGCTGTGGAAGTATCCCATACATACTAGTATACTAGTAATAGAGGCGATTAGCGACTTACAGCAGGACTGCAATATTTCGTTGGACAATCTGACACGGACACCTTGTGGGAACCAGTGACACTAATACAGTAAATCAGTGCTAAAAATACGCTGTTACTATACTAATGACACTGGCTGGGAAAGGGTTGAACATCTAGAGCAATCAAAGGGTCAACTGTGTGCCTAGCCAGTGTTTGTGTAAACAGTGTGGTGTTTTCACTGGGTAATATGCTGGATTTTATTCCCTGCTCTGCATGGAAATAACATCCGGCACATCGCCACTGACAGGACACAGCTGTGCTTTGTATGGGCAGAGCTGTGTTTTTTGTTTTTTTGTTTTTTCTCGCTTTCTCCCCTAGGCAGTCAGTGCATGTCGGTACTCATCCATTGGTCAGGACATGCTGATCGGCTTCTGCTTTGACTATTCACAGCAGAAGCAGTGCGCCAGGAGAGCACGGACACTCCCCCTAAACCAGGAAGCGCAAAAGTGTGTCTGTGTGTGTGTGTGTCTGTGTGTGTGTGTGTCTGTGTGTGTGTGTGTCTGTGTGTGTGTGTGTCTGTGTGTGTGTGTGTCTGTGTGTGTGTGTGTCTGTGTGTGTGTGTGTCTGTGTGTGTGTGTCTGTGTGTGTGTGTCTGTGTGTGTGTGTGTCTGTGTGTGTGTGTCTGTGTGTGTGTGTCTGTGTGTGTGTGTCTGTGTGTGTGTGTCTGTGTGTGTGTGTCTGTGTGTGTCTGTCTGTGTGTGTGTGTCTGTGTGTGTGTGTGTCTGTGTGGTGTGTGTCTGTGTGTGTGTGTCTGTGTGTGTGTGTCTGTGTGTGTGTGTCTGTGTGTGTGTGTCTGTGTGTGTGTGTCTGTGTGTGTGTGTCTGTGTGTGTGTGTCTGTGTGTGTCTGTGTGTGTGTGTCTGTGTGTGTGTGTGTCTGTGTGTGTGTGTCTGTGTGTGTGTGTCTGTGTGTGTGTCTGTGTGTGTGTGTGTCTGTGTGTGTGTGTGTCTGTGTGTGTGTGTGTCTGTGTGTGTGTGTCTGTCTGTGTGTGTGTGTCTGTCTGTGTGTGTGTGTCTGTCTGTGTGTGTGTGTGTGTGTCTGTCTGTGTGTGTCTGTCTGTGTCTGTGTTTTTTGCGGAGCGGCCGCCATGTAGCAGTACATCTGCTATATAGGGCGGTCCTTAACTGATAGAGTATAGTTTCCCCATCTACAGAATATTCTTTGACAGTAACCCACAAAGACAGTCTGTTCAGACTGAGTTCTGATATTTGGGAAAAAAGTTGTAATTGTTGCAGAGCGGATGGAGTGATCTGTTTTTCCTTTTCTCTCCGTTCTGTCATTCAGTCAGGACACGTTCATGGAGAATTACTTTACCAGTCAGCGGGACAACATATTCCGCAACGTTGAAGTTCTCATCTACGTTTTTGACGTTGAGAGCCGTGAACTGGAGAAGGACATGCATTACTATCAGTCCTGTTTAGAAGCCATCTTGCAGAACTCTCCGGATGCCAAGGTGTTTTGCCTGGTGCACAAGATGGATTTGGTGCAGGAAGATCAGCGAGATCTGGTGAGCACAGAGTCCGTCTGCACGCCCTGGTTTACACTATAACTCGCACTGCGTTCCTGCATCATTCACATGCGATTCGACTTGAGTCTGCGCTTGCCCTGTGCTTCCCGCACAGCATACGTGTGAACCTAGGCTGAAGAAGGGAAGGTTTCCCCATAAATGAATACTCCCATGAGCACCTGATTGATGACCATTTCAGCAGGCAGGTTTAGGTGTATTAACCCCTTGACGCTGATCGCACGCAAATATACAGCATCTCGGCGTCTGGGCCTTGACGCCTAGCGGCCGCACATTTGCGTACAATTAGAAAATACATACGTGCTGAGAGCGCGTGCTCTGCGCGCTCCAACACATGTCAGCTACTCCTGGAAAGGTGCCGATCTCCCCTTTCGATCGGGACCTTTTCTAATCATGTGACGGCGAATCACGGTGGTCACATGACCCTAAAACCCCTTCTGAAACTCTTAAAGGGCCGGTAGACACCACACCAAGAGGTTAAGCAAAAATGTATATAGAGCGCACTAAAGAGGCACTAACCTATAGAAAGCAGCCTCACAAGGAAACCAAACTGCAGCATATTGCGAAAAGATCTTTTCACAATATGCTGCAGTTAGTTTTCTTGTTGATCTATATAGTCGGTGAGTCGTATTTGTGAAGCTTTTTTTCTAAAAAGGGGCCCCTTATTAATCACATAATCACTGTATGGGTTCAAATTAGCTTTAGAATCCAGGACACACAAATACATCTAGCTACCAACAAAAAAACCCAAAAACTTTAATGTGTTACTAAACCCACAACAGTACAATCAGTCTGTATTTGCAGTAAAGCATGCTTGTTATACTCACTGTGAAACATAAGGGGTTAATCCTCTGCTTTGTTTAAAACCGCTGTTTGATCCTGTCTTCTCTGATCCTCCCCTTCTTCCAGAGCCCCCTCTTATCTCCTGATAAGACATATTGTGTAGATACACTCTGCGCATGCTCAGTTTGGTGTGTATTGCTAGAGTTGTTTTTTGTTTGGTTTTTTTGTTTTTGTTTTTTTCTTGGAAGAGTGCATGTGATCAGCAGTGGTCATGCACAGGTCAGGGGTTTTGCATCCTCCTAGAGCAGAAAGTAAACTCATGCTACAAGCCTTAACCAGTGCTCTGCTGAAGTCACAAGATAGCTCTAACTGCTGATGAGAAAAGGTATTTAGCAGTTTGTATTTATTAAAATAATTGCATTTCCATGTTGTGTGTACTGTGGGAGACCAGATATAGTGAATGCGGGGTCCGGGGAGAGCGGATATAGTGAATGCGGGGTCCGGGGAGAGCGGATATAGTGAATGCGGGGTCCGGGGAGAGCGGATATAGTGAATGCGGGGTCCGGGGAGAGCGGATATAGTGAATGCGGGGTCCGGGGAGAGCGGATATAGTGAATGCGGGGTCCGGGGAGAGCGGATATAGTGAATGCGGGGTCCAGGGAGAGCGGATATAGTGAATGCGGGGTCCGGGGAGAGTGGGTATAGTGAATGCGGGGTCCGAGGAGAGCGGGTATAGTGAATGCGGGGTCCGGGGAGAGCGGGTATAGTGAATGCGGGGTCCGGGGAGAGCGGGTATAGTGAATGCGGGGTCCGGGAGAGCGGATATAGTGAATGCGGGGTCTGGGGAGAGCGGATATAGTGAATGCGGGGTCCGGGGAGAGCGGGTATAGTGAATGCGGGGTCTGGGAGAGCGGGTATAGTGAATGCGGGGTCCGGGGAGAGCGGGTATAGTGAATGCGGGGTCTGGGGAGAGCGGGTATAGTGAATGCGGGGTCCGGGGATAGAGCGGGTATAGTGAATGCGGGGTCCTGGGTTTGGAAACACTTTAAGCCATGATTGACCAGCTAAGGGCTCAATCACCTATGCAATTATCATTGTTTCTCCCTCCGAAAAGCCTATCTGCGATGTTTCGCCCTTCTCACTGCCTGCTGCTTGTTATTATTATACAGGATTTTTGGCGCCAACAGTTTGCTCAGCGTTTTGCAATATAATGGGAGACAATACAGCAACAATACAGTTCAACACGAGTGATTGGAGGGCCTGATCCTGGGAGCTTACAATCTAGGAGGGAGGGCTAGTGGTACAAAAAGGTAGTAAATATGGGGGATGGGCTGGTTGGAAGAGTAGAAGATTCCATTATTAGCTGAGGGCAGGATAGGCTTCCCTGAAGAGAGGTTTTCAGAGATCCCCTAAAAGTGAGCAGAGTAGCCGATAGTCTGTTAAATTGGGGTAGAGAGTTCCAGAGAATGGGGGAAGCTCTGGAGAAGTCCTGTAGACGAGCATGGGAGGAGGAGACAGAGAGTAAGAGGTCTTGCGAGGAGCGGAGAGTACGGTTTGGGTGATATTTGGAGACAAGATCGGTGATGTAATTTGGGGCGGAGTTATAAATGGCTTTATATGTTATTAATGTTTTTGAATTTTATCCATTGGGCAACAGGAAGCCAGTGGAGGGATTGGCAGAGAGGGGTGGAGGACACTGAGTGGAGGTCAGTGGAGGGATTGGCAGAGAGGGGTGGAGGACACTGAGTGGAGGTCAGTGGAGGGATTGGCAGAGAGGGGTGGAGGACACTGAGTGGAGGCCAGTGGAGGGATTGGCAGAGAGGGATGGAGGACACTGAATGGGGGCCAGTGGAGGGATTGGCAGAGAGGGATGGATGACACTGAATGGAGGTCAGTGGAGGGATTGGCAGAGAGGGGTGGCAGATACAGAACGGTTAGTGAGGTGGATGAGTCTGGCAGCAGCATTCATGATAGACTGAAGAGGGGATAGCCTGCGATGAGATCGGCCAATGAGGAGGGAGTTACAATAGTCAAGGCGAGATATAACAAGGGAGGCAATAAGTTGCTTAGTGGTTGACCCAACACTGCAACTACATGCAGTGCACACGGTTGCAGGGCAATTGCTGTGCAGCCCATTTTTACTTGAATGGATCGAGTTCAGTGGCGGTACCTCCTGCTAATGGAAATGTAAGTTTTTTTTTTTACCTTTTTAGAAAAAATAAAAAGGTGAAGGAACACCGCACACTCCTACCAAGAGCCTGCTCACTGCTTCCATCAGGACTGAAAGGAGTACTGAGGCAGGGTGCTGTGATGTGTTTTATTTCAGGTACTTATATAGCACGGTCCATTTACATACATATTGTACATTCACTTCAGTCCCTAACCCTCAAGGGCGTACAATCTAAGGCCCCTAACCCTCAAGGGGCGTACAATCTAAGGCCCCTAACCCTCAAGGGGCGTCCAATCTAAGGCCCCTAACCCTCAAGGGGCGTCCAATCTAAGGCCCCTAACCCTCAAGGGGCGTCCAATCTAAGGTCCCTAACCCTCAAGGGGCGTCCAATCTAAGGTCCCTAAACCCTCAAGGGGCGTCCAATCTAAGGTCCCTAACCCTCAAGGGGCGTCCAATCTAAGGTCCCTAACTCACATTCATACATACACATACTGGGGACAATTTAGACAGGATCCAATTCACCTACCAGCATGTCTTTGGAGTGTGTTTTCAGGAATCTATGTACAGCACCTTGCTGATTCCTCCGCAGCTGTCGTCTGCCTGCATTGCATTGAGAACCGCAGAGACCTGGTGATGTCACAGGGCATAAATTATGATATGTAAGCAAAAGTTTAATTAGTATGTGTTTTTTTTTTTTTTTTTTTTTTTTTTTTTTTAACACAATTCATTTGCATGTTTGAGAGGGGATGGAGCAACTAGGAAAGACCAAGTAGACAATCGGACATGCATTTTAATATTTTCCTGGTACCAACATGTCGGCGTGCGTCTGTTAGCATGCTGCTGTGACGCGAAGTACAATTTTTCAGGTTTTCCCCCCCCCCATTTTACAAGACAAAGTGTGTTTGTTGCAATGAGATTTATAATTGCGTACTGCTCCTACAATATCTAATTTCCTTCTGAGTGTGTTTTTTTTTTTTTTTTTTTTTAGATATTTAAGGAGCGAGAGGAGGATTTGAGGCGTCTCTCCAGACCTTTGGATTGTGCGTGCTTCAGGACCTCCATTTGGGATGAAACGCTATACAAGGTACCTAATCCCACCATTGCCGTGTCACATGCATAGGTTAGTACAGTGACTGCCGTGTGAATGATTGCCGCTCTGCTCTGTGCTCAGGCCTGGTCCAGCATCGTCTATCAGCTCATTCCCAACGTGCAGCAGCTGGAATCCAACCTGCGTAACTTTGCTCAGATCATCGAGGCTGATGAAGTGCTGCTATTCGAGAGAGCGACTTTTCTGGTGAGAGATCCCTGCGACTTCTGCCTGCCATTGTTCTAGTAATACTGTTATACCGAATGCTTGGTAACTGACATTTCCATTTTATATTTTTTTTCTCTCAGGTAATATCCCACTACCAGTGCAGGGAACAGAGGGACATCCATAGGTTTGAGAAGATTAGCAACATTATAAAACAGTTCAAATTAAGCTGCAGGTAAGGAAAGTATCAAAGATTTTCATTGGCTGAACACCTAACTCCAGGCTGTGTTTCTTCTTCCTTTTTTTTTTTTCTTTTCTTTTCTTTTCTTTTGGTTTTGCGAAGAGTTGAAACTGAATCCTGGGCACAAAAAACATCACATTTCACAATCGATACAGGGGGAGAGTTACAAAAACTGGAGCACTCACAATCTGGTGCAGATGTGCATGGGAGCCAATCGGCTTCTAACTTCAGCTCATTCAATTAAAGTGTTACTAAACCCACAACAGTACAATCATCTGTATATGAAGTAAAGCATGCTTGTTATACTCACCTTGGAAGGGGTTTAATCCTCAGCATTGTGTAAAAGGAGTTTGATCCTGTCTTTTTTGCTCCTCCTCTTGTTCAAATGTCCACCTGATAAGACACTTAACCCGTAGCCACATGCACATGCACATGCTCCGTTTAGTGTGTATTGCTAGCGAGGTTTTTTTTTACTTTGGAGAGTGCATGTGATCTGCACAGGGCCTATCAGCACTGTCCAGACAGAGGTCAGGCAACTGCATCCTCCTAGAACAGAAAACTCCTACAAGCTTTAACCAGTGCTCTGCTAAAGTCACAAGACTGCTATATACTGCTGATGAGAAAAAGGTAATTAGCAGTTTTATATTTACTAAAATAATTGTATTTTCCCAAGTCCTCTTCTAGGACAGCTTCACTTGAGAGATAGGGCTCCTCCCAGGAAACACCCCCGCTCCACCCTTTTCCCCTTTATAAGTATCCTCTCTCCCAGTGGACCCCTCAGTATTAGTGTTTCCTCCGGCCAGGGTGGAGCTACGCCCGATTTTATTATTTTCTTCCCGACCGTCTGGCGAGTACAGAGGGCCCCTGGCTGAGACCCCACACCCCCTTCTTCCTCTCTCTAGCAAGGCAGGGGCCTTGTGGGGGGGCTTTCAGTCAGGCTCCCAGTCATGGACAGACCCTTCGGGGTGGCAGACCCCGGATGGTCCTAGCGGGGCTCTCCAGGGGGGTAGAGTCCACTCCGCCGACCTGGGCAGTGGTGCCTTTCCCTGGGGGCTGAGGTAAGTCTTACCTGGTTCCGGGATCCCGGCAGCATGGCCAGGAGGTGCGGCTGCTCGGGGTCAGGACGCCGCAAACCGCGTCCCTTCCGGCGCAGGAAACCTGGATCGGCCCAGCCGCCATGTTGGATGTGGGCGGCGGACCGCGGAATTAGCCCACGCCATGGCCGCTTCTCCACCGGCGACCGTGAAAGGGAGGTCGACGCGCATGGACCCTGGGGGGTGGGGGGCGGAGCCTGCCAGTCCCTGAAAAAAACCGCCACACTAAGGAGGAGTTCGCGGCGAGGATGGAGGCAGATCTGTCAGGGGCGGGGGGAGGCCTGCGACAAGGTAAGGGCCTTTGGCCGCCACTCACCCTCTACCCCCTCCGGGATCCTCAGGCGCTCCCTACACTCATTCCCCCCCCCCCCCCGTATTTTTTTAAGGTATTGGGGGTGCATGTAGGGCAATCCCTGGGGGCCCCCGCGGTTCATAAATTCCCATGTCTCCTTATCCCCAGATGGGCCCACAGGAGGAGGATGGAGGGGGGAAAAGAAGCTCCTTGCGAGCTGAAAAAAGAAATGCGCTACTTGCAGAAAGAAGCTGGTGCGCTCTGCGGAAGAACTCTGCCAAGACTGCATAGATAAGCTTATCAAAAAGGAGTCTGGGACCCTCTTTAAGGATTTCCTGCAGACTGACACAAGAGATGTCTGAGACCTTTCAGAGCTTCAGGGAGCAGAGGCCGGGACCAGCCCAGGACGAGCCCCAACCAGGCACTTCAGGCAGTGCCCAGGGGGCATGTTGTGTGTACTGGGGGAGACCGGGTATAGTGAACGCGGGGTCTGGGGGAGACCGGGTATAGTGAACGTATGGCGGTGAACAGGATGCTGCAAATCCATTACGCATGGCAGATAAGCATGACATGTTTGTTTGTAACCATTTCAGTACTGGACACTTCCTAACCCCCCCCCCCCCCCCCCCCCCCCTTCTTACACAGGCCAATTTTTAGCTTTCATCGCTGTTGCACTTTGGGTACAGTGTTCCTTGACTGTGCAGTTGTCATTCAAACTAAAATTTTATCATTATTTTTGAAAAAAAAAAACTTTTTTTTTTTTGTTTATCACATATTGCAAATAAGTAATTTTAGTTCTGCCCTGCCTTCATTATCCATATACTGTAAATGTCCCTGTGATTGGACACAGCAGATTACATGGTAAACGTCATTGGCTCTTTACCGTGACTGCTGATGTGCATGTCTGAGAGAGATGGAGGGAGCGCGCATGCACAGCAAGGATGGGATGATGTTTGCCCAGTACGAGAGAAGTCCTGCCCAGCCTATTGTACAAAAAAAAGGAAACAAATCCGGCTTTAATAACAATTGAATCATTCCCACAATAAAACTGATGTTTAAGGTTTCCACAGAACTGCTTGAAGATCGCTGAAAGCTCTACAAATGCTGTGCCAAAGCTCGCTGTACACACTAACTGCTCTTATACAAGCTGAAGCCCTGTGAACGACGTCTTTGGGTCAGCGGTTGCCACTAGGAAAGGAAATGGCTGAGAGAAATAAAAATAATTTCTTAACAAACCCCCTCACTCCACTCCGGATGTGCTTGTGTACCTTTTTTGAGTCCACCATAATTTCCATTCAGGGCAGGAAATGATGGAAATCACCCTGGTGGAGGCACACTCCAAACCTTCCAGCACAGCAGAATCTTTAAAAAAAAAAAAAAAAAGGTTTTAGCCGGAGTTGGTCTTTAACCTCCCTGGCGGTCTGATTATGTCAATATTTTTGAATGTCAAAGCGGTACATTGTTTTGCATGGAAATTTTGTTGTTTTGTATTGTAGGCCTGTAATTCTTAGGAATACAGGCATACCTCCAATTTACAAATTTATTTCGTTCTGCGGGACTTTTCGTATTGCGAAAAATTTGCAGACCAAAACGCGGTTTCCCATAGGCATGCATTGAAGACCAATTAATCCATTTTCGGAGGTCAGAAAAAAGTAAAATAAGTCTTTTATCTGTTCAAAACTCTTTATAAATTGCACTTTAAAGGCATAAATATGGTACAGGGACATGATTAAAAATAAATTCAGAAATGCATTGGAAATCCTTTCCGGAGGCCAGAAAAAAGTCTTATCTGTTCAAAACACTTTATAAGGGCATAGTACTGTACAGGGACATGATTAAAAAAACAATTCGTAAATGCATTGAAAACCAATTAATCTGTTTGTATTGCGAAAAAAAATTTGTAAACCGAGCCATTATTTTCAACTGATTTTTATTCGTAAACTGAAAAGTACGTTAACCGAAGCGTTCGTAAACCAAGGTACTCTGGTAACTCAAATCTGTCCAAACAAGAGTCTAGTAAACATCCCGGGTATGATAAAGTTTGAAACACGAAATCATAAAATATAATATAAAGAATATAAAAAAAAATAATATAATACATTCAATTCAATAATGTAATCAAACCAAAAACACTGAAATTTTGATATAGAGTGCCAAGTTCGCACATCGCTGAGCTCAGTCGCAGGATTCTCGCTGTCGTCACTTTCGGTGTCTGATGACGAATTTCCCCGCGAATCACTATCGCTCAATATCGCTGATCTCTAGCTGGTCTAGAACTGCTTTTTGACCTAAAGGGACGCTTTTTGGACGCCATGGACTTTCTCAAGTTTCCAGGCAGAAAAGAACAGTAAAAATGCAGGCAGGGCGCCGGACAAAGCACTCGGGACAAAATGTATGTGAAATGGTTTGATAGTCATGGAATCTAACAGATTACAATGTATCATGTGTATGTCATGTTTTGTTTGCCTTTTTGAATCTCCCGCCGGTTCCGCCCCCCTGCGCTCACAGGGAAGAGAAGACTGTTGCTGGCATTGGCCGGAGGGACATGGGGGGATCTCAGGGACAAGGTAAGTTACACTACAGTTTAATCCCGAATGTGGCTCAGGGTTTCCGCTTTTGGGTGCTGAAAATGAACCCCGAGCTACACTCTGGATTACCGCCAGGGAGTTTAATAATTGTTCTGGCCACGTGATTGGTGGAGGTTCTTGCTGTAAATGTATAGCCTGCCACCTTCCCATGAAATTTTGTAGTCAAGTATTGCTGTTTACAACCTTTTGTCCCTCACTCATTTCTTATTGTGATTTTACAGTAAACTGGCTGCCTCTTTCCAGAGCATGGAAGTTCGGAATTCCAATTTCGCTGCCTTTATAGATATCTTCACATCCAACACTTATGTCATGGTGGTGATGTCCGACCCCTCAATTCGTAAGTTTTTGTTTTGTTTGTTTTTTTTTGGGTTTTTTTTTTTTCATAAAGCAGTTATTATTCCATGGGGGAGGGGGGTACTGGGATGCTGCAAGGAGGGTGCAGCAGAGTTGAGTCACTGCTGGAAGAGGGTACAGAGCTCTTCCGGTACTGCTGGGTGGAGGGAGCAGGATGAGCCTCCATACATGGATTGACACTTGTCTGGTTCAGCAGGGACTAGACGAATTTTGATCCACTTGTGAGCTAGCTGGTTGTTCCCAAGTCAATTTATTGACAGACTTGTGTGCAACAAGCATGTTGGGTTTTTCCCCCGAACGATCACTGCCACTGGCTGTAGCCAGCAACCTGGATTATTAAGGCCTGACAGCCCAAACACATTTGCTTTTTTTATATGACTGTACTACACGAGCTTTATCCCCTCCTTCCTGAGGATCCCCCCCCCCCCTTCTGACCAGGCTATTTTTTGCATTACGGTGCTGCATTATTTTAATTGACAATTGTGCGGTCATGCAGCGCTGCACCCAAATTAAATTTACGTCCTTTCACCCCCCCCACGAATAGAGCTTTCTTTTGGTGGCATTTGATTTACCTCCTACGTTTTTTTTTATTTTTTGCTCTATAAACAAAAGACCACCAGTTTTGAGAAAAAAAACAATATTTTTGACTTTTTGCTATTAAACATATCCAGTTCAATAAATTTTTAAGAATCAGATTTTGTCCTAATACGTGTAAATGAATTGGTTAACGTGAAAATTATGGCGTCTACTAATGGCGGTGTATATATACTGGAATTTTTTTGTTCTTACTAGTAATGGCGGCGATCAGCAACTTGTGCGACTGCGGCGGGCATTCTGACACTGGGGGGGGGAACCAACTTGGTGTCGCTGACATCCTCAGTGACACCAATACAGTGATCAGTGCTAATAAAAAGCACTGATACTGTACTAATGGCACTGGGCAGGAAGGGGTTAACATGAAGGGTGATCAAAGGGTTAGCTGTGTGCGTGCTTTACACTGTAAGCACACTGATTTGTAGGTCTGCTATGCAGAGCCACACAAAGCAGTGTGCAGGAGCTGACAGGAGAGAGATCTGTGTTTTTTTTTTTTTTTTTAAACACCGGTCTCTCCTTCGTCAAAAGATACTCGGCGATCACAGTGTGCAGGTGACAAATCACCGGCAGGGACCTGGTGATTGACAGCCGAGGCTGGCGCGGGTAGGGCATGTGCACCCTACCTGGAACTGCAAAATCGTGTGTGTGTGTGTGTGTGTGTGTGTGTGTATATGTGTATATATATATATATATATATATATAAATGTGATTTTGCACACCGTGCCACCCTGTAGCAGTATTTCTGCTATAGGGTGGTGCTGAAGCTGTTAAAGAGCATTTGATTACAGTCGTTGCACTGGAGCACCAGCTTTCCTTCTGCAACACTGATCATTATGTTCTGCCGGATGGGAAGGATTCCTGCAGGCAGGACAATAGAGCTGTGGGAGTAATTTTTCCCATCCACCTCAAGTGTGTGTGTGTGTGTGTGTGTGTGTGTGTGTGGTTTTTAACCTCAACGAAACAAAAATGTACAACTTATTTCCTGTCTTAAGCAGCCCATAGACAAATATTTTCTTTCCTTCCACCATGAGTGAAAGGAAAACCACTAGTTTTCCCCATCAGAATAGTCCGTGTTGATGGGGGAATTCCTCCCACGGTGCTATTGTGTTCTGCCGGCAGGGGGTGCTGGGAGCCTTCCTGGCCAGCAGAACACAATGATTACTGCTAGCTCCTCCAATCAAATGTAAAAAATTTGACAGGCTGGTTGTGCCCAAGTAGATCCAATCAGCCTGCCCCTACATGGATGGAATCTTGGCCGGTCCCTGCTGAACTGGCTGAATTTTGATCCTTGTATGGCCTGCTTTAGTCACTACTAGGAGGAGGGTGAGCAGAGCTGATGGGCAGAGGGAGCGTAGTGAAATAGACCTGAGTCTGTGCTGTGAGGGGAAAGCTGCATGGTCGTGGGGGGGGGGAGCAGAGTAAATTGAACTGCATAGAGAAGAATGTAAACTACTTTCTTCTTTTACAGCTTCAGCTGCAACTTTAATAAATATCCGAAATGCAAGGAAACACTTTGAGAAGCTGGAACGCGTGGATGGTCCTAAACACAGCCTTCTCATGCGCTGAGGATATACGCCAAGGTCACGAATTCCAGTACAGGCTCGTTATGGAGAGGACACCTCAGTACCCCATTTACAGTATAATGTTGTTGTTTTGGGAACACCAGTGGACTGCGGTGCTCAGGGACGCCCGGTGGACTGTGTACTTGAATGCAGCTCAGTCTACCTTCTGGTCCCCACATTGTCCTGGCTCCTTGTATGCAAATGCTGCTGATTGAGGCGGTCAACCGCATGCTGTTTTCAAAGCTTTGTCTGGTCGCTAGTGACCTCACCAGCATGGAAGTGGTTTGAAGCTTCACTTGCATACATTTGCATACATTTTGGTCAGTACGTAACGCTGAACTCCAGGCAGATGTCACATTCCTTAACATGGGTAAAAATCTGAATTTGGCTTAGAATCCGCTTCTTGCATTCCCTATACAGCAGCAGCAATCCTTGGCAGAAGGAGGTGTAGGATCGGGAGCCACTCACCAGAGATATTCTTGGTCTCCTTTCACTGCCCAGCTAGCAAGCAAAGGGTGCGGAAAGGACACTGCTGTACGCCTCCTGCAACCTATAACTAGCAAAGAAAGTGGTGTCATCTGCCTGGCTGTGTCCATCTCAGAACTGGATGGACAAAAGGACAAACCCTTTGGCAGGTCAAAACGGCTGCTGTATATGTATTCAGCCGATTGTTTGGAGTTCAGCTTTACCGCCCCCCCTTCCCTAAGCAAAGCGTATGAAGACACAGGGCTGTACCTGATTACACAGGTCATTGGGCGTGTTTTTACAGGTTAGTGACCTACCTGACCTTCAATCCCCTAGGGCAGGCGACTTCCACATCACATCCAAGAATCATCGTGCTCCAAGTAAACGCTCGGTTTGCACTGAAAATATCTTCTGTTGGAAGATTGTGATAACTTGTGTTCAGATTTCCTACCTTGATGGACCCTCATCCACCTCCTTCTGCTTTTTGGACCGGTTCTGACCTCCTCTCTCCCTCTCAATATGGTTATGTGAATTCTTTGTAGATTTAAACAAGAAAATGACGACCGACCTTTTAAAACGACTCCGATTTTGTCCCTATTGTTTGTACATTGCATTGGTCCTTCATCTTAGTTGGAATAAAATTGAAATTTTTTTGATGCAAAAAAAACAATTATAAAAAAAAAGAAATGCGTTTTATGCTTCAGAATTAAAATATTTATGCTTGTTAAAACAGTGTCTGTTTTTTTTTTTTTTTTAATAAAGTATTAAGGCTTCATTTAGACGTGCATCGACACCCCATTGCAGGTAATCTTTGTCATTGCAGCTGCATAGCTACAGCCATGACCGGGGTGCATGCCTCTGAAGGCACATTACCTGTTTTTGGACCTGTGCACCCGCTCCGGGATGTATTTCAAATTTTGACATATGCCTGTGTCCTCTTCATCCACCTCCTCTAGGCTGCCTGTGAGCAGCTCAGGGAGGATCTACAGTTGCAAGAAAAAGTATGTGAACCCCTTGGGATTACGTGGAGTTTTGCATGAATTGGGCATAAAATGTGCTCTGAACGTCATCTAAGTCACAACAATAGAAGAACACAGTCTGCTGAACATAATACTACACAAACAAACATTAGATGTTGCCATGGTTTAATTGCACATAACAAGTAAACATTCACAGTGCAGGGAGGAAAAAGTATGTGAGGCCCTAGCTTAATGACTCCTCCCAGAGCTAATTGGAGCCAGGAGTGAGCCAACCTTGACTCCAATCAGTGTGATGATATTGGATGTGTTGCTGACAGCTGTCCTGCCCTTAAAAAAAACACACCTGTTTTGGGTTTACTGGTTTCAAGAAGCACTGTCTGATGTGAACCATGCCTCGCAGAAAAGAGCTCTCAGAAGACCTACGATCAAGAATTGTTGACTTGCATGAAGCTGGAAAGGGTTACCAAAGTATCTCCAAAAGTCTTGATGTTCATGTGTCCACGGTAAGACAGACTGTCTACAAATGGAGAAAGTTTAGCACTGTTGCTACTCTCCCTAGGCGCGGTCGTCCTGTAAAAATGACTGCAAGAGCACAGCGTAGAATGCTGCATGAGGTAAAGAAGAATCCCAGAGTGTCAGCTAAAGACCTACAGAAATCTCTGGCACATGCTAACATTTTTGTTGACACATCTACAATAAGGAAAACATTAAACAAGAATGGAGTACATGGGAGGACACCACGGAGGAAGCCATTGCTGTCCAAAAAGAATATTGCAGCACGTTTGAAGTTTGCAAAAGAGCACCTGGATGTTCCACAGCACTACTGGCAAAATATACTGTGGACAGATGACACCAAGATTGAGTTGTTTGGGAAGAACACACAACACTATGTGTGGAGAAAAAAAGGCACAACACACCAACATCAAAACCTCATCCCCACTGTGAAACATGGCGGAGGGAGCATCATGGTTTGGGGCTGCTTTGCTGCCTCAGGGCCCTGGACGGATTGTTGTCATTGATGGGAAAATGAATTCCAGAGTTTATCAAGACATTTTGCAGGAAAACGTATGACCATCTGTCCGCCAACTGAAGCTCCGCAGAGGATGGGTGATGCAACAGGACGATGACCCAAAGCATACAAGTAATTCAACAAAACAATGGCTGCAACAGCACAGAATACGCCTTCTGGAGTGGCCCAGTCAGAGTCCTGACCTCAACCCGATTGAAATGCTGTGGCATGACCTTAAGAGAGCGATTCACACCAGACATCCCAAGAATATTGCTACACTGAAACAGTTTTGTGAAGAGGAGTGGTCCAAAATGACTCCAGATCGTTGTGCAGGTCTGATCTGCAACTACAGGAAACGTTTGGTTGAGGTTATTGCTGCCAAAGGAGGGTCAACCAGTTATTAAGTCCAAAGGTTCACATACTTTTTCCTCCCTGCACTGTGAATGTTTACATGTTATGTGCAATTAAACCATGGCAACATCTAATGTTTGTGTAGTATCATGTTCAGCAGACTGTGTTCTTCTATTGTTGTGACTTAGATGATGTTCAGAGCACATTTTATAAAAAAAAATACCCAATTCATGCAAAACTCCACGTAATCCGAAGGGGTTCACATACTTTTTCTTGCAACTGTAGCTGCCACCTGCACACAGAATGGGTGTTGATGCCCGTCTGAATGAAACTATAGGGCAGGGGTCTCCAAACTATGGCCCTCTAGGTTTTGAGGAACTACAAGTCCCATGAGGTCTTGCCAGCCACAGGCAAGACTCGCAATGGCATGATGGGATTTGTAGTACTTCAACAGCTGGATGGCCATAATTTGGAGACCCCTGCTATAGGGTTACGATACAAATACATACAACCTGTCAATGCTCATATAGTGAGAGTAGGCTGAGCGTTTCTTCAACGAATTCCCGCAAAGATAGACGATGATATCCAGAACTTTGGATATGTGAATATTTAACCAGCTTGGCTCCAGAAGATTTTACCCCCCCCCCCCCCCTACATGCCCAGGTTATTTTTTGCTATTTGACGCTGCGTTACTTTAACTGGCAATTGTTTAGTCATGCAATGCTGTACCTCAATTAAATTTTGTATTTTTTTTTTCCCTCCACCACACATATATAGAGCTTTCTTTTGATGGTATTTTGATCACCATTGGGTTTTTATTTTATATAAATACAATGCCAAAGAAGTAAAAAAGCCATTTTACTTTGTTATAAAACCTCCAATAAAAAAGAAAAAAAAAAATCACAATTCTTCATAAATTTAGGCCAAAATGTATTCTGCTACCTGTCTTTGGCAAAAAAAAAAAATCCAGTATCTGTACCATTTGCGTGAAAATTATAACATCTACAACCAATGATATAGATCCGTGGTCTCCAAACTGCGGCTCATGGGCCAGATGTGGCCCTTTGCTTACCGTTATCCGGCCCTTAGTGCACTGTTCGTTCCACTGATATGAGGCATGAAGCCTTCCCCTATCACTAATGATGAGACACCATCTCCCCCCCCCCCCCCCCCCCCCGATGTTGGGGCACTATTCCTTCCACTGACACCAACAATGGCGCACTATTCCTCCCAATGACACGGCACTATTCCTCCACTGATACCAATGATGGGGCACTATTCCTCCCACTGACACCAATGATGGGGCACTATTCCTCCCACTGATACCAATGATGGGGCACTATTCCTCCCACTGACACCAATGATGGGGCACTATTCCTCCCACTGACACCAATGATGGGGCACTATTCCTCCCACTGACACCAATGATGGGGCACTATTCCTCCCACTGACACCAATGATGGGGCACTATTCCTCCCACTGACACCAATGACGGGGCACTATTCCTCCCACTGATACCAATGACGGGGCACTATTCCTCCCACTGACACCAATGACGGGGCACTATTCCTCCCACTGACACCAATGACGGGGCACTATTCCTCCCACTGACACCAATGACGGGGCACTATTCCTCCCACTGACACAATGACGGGGCACTATTCCTCCCCACTGACACCAATGACGGGGCACTATTCCTCCCACTGACACCAATGACGGGGCACTATTCCTCCCACTGACCACAATGACGGGGCACTATTCCTCCCACTGACACCAATGACGGGACACTATTCCTTCCACTGACACCAACGACGGACACTATTCCACTGACACCAACGGTGGGGCACTATTCCTCCCACTGACACCAACGGTGGGGCACTATTCCTCCCACTGACACCAACGGTGGGGCACTATTCCTCCCACTGACACCAACGGTGGGGCACTATTCCTCCCACTGACAACTGACACCAACGGTGGGGCACTATTCCTCCCACTGATACCAACGGTGGGGCACTATTACTCTCCCACTGACACCAACGATGGGGCACTATTCCTGCCACTGACACCAACGATGGGGCACTATTCCTTCCACTGACACCAGTGTCGGGCACTGTTCCTCCCCGCTGATACCAGTGTCGGGGGGCTGTTCCTCCCGCTGACACCAGTGTCGGGGCGCTGTTCCTCCCCGCTGACACCAGT